CATCGTAATTGGATTGCTTGCTGAACTGCCTTTAACTCCAATATACTGCTTGTGAATTATATATTGGCTTGAGCTGCAGCAGAGCTATTCAGATTGATACTTCATCATTCGCAGTAATTGAAACAGAAAGGATACTACTTAGAGTCCCAAGCGATATAGCTTCCCAGTGAGTGTTCCAGATGTAATTGTTAATGATATAGCAGTGATGCCTACTTATTGAGGTGAATTGACAACTTGAGAAAGCGATATATTTGATCGCTATATAATAAAATGCAGAACTCTTACGAATTAAAACCGAAGTCTAAACTTAAGAAGAAGTTTCGAACGAATCTACACTTCGAGCTGCCATCTAGATTGTGCGTTGCAGGTCCTTGTGGATCGGGGAAGTCAAACACCGTCCTGTATATAATAGCGCTTTTACGCAAGTGCTTTACCAAGATTGTCATTTGTAAAAGACCAACGAGGCGCTGTATGATCATCTTAACAACACTACCGACAATGTCCAGGTGATCGAGGAAAGAATGGTCCTAGCAATGAGTGAATACGATTTTGAGACTAGCAAGCTATTAATTTTCGATGACTTAGTCATGAAACCAAAGAGGACTCAGGCTCAGATCTTAGAGTATTTTATCCGAGGACGCTAGCAAGTCCGGTTGATGATCTACATTTTACAGAATTACTTTGGCATTCTAAGAACGATTCGGATCAACTCTCATTTTGTTATAATTGCTCAACGAGACCTTGGCGAAATCAGTCGTAACTTCCCCACTAACGTCCCAATCAAAACATTTATCGATCTATACAACCGAACAACATCCGAAAAAATGAACACGATGATGACGGATATTATCAAACGGAAGATCCACAAAAATGTTATTGAGTATGTGTGCGACTTATAAGCAGCCTATTCGCTACAACCTTTTTTGGTAGAATCAATGATAGCATCAGCTGTGAATGGTTCCTTGAATTGAACAATATGCTAATCCTTGTCCTTTAGACGTTAAGACTAGACCGCAATATTACATTCCAGCAGATGTTCGCGATTGGATTGTAAACATTTGAACAAGTAACTACGACAGCAGCTGTTGGATCTATTTGAGGTACTGATCGCATAAACGCTAGTTGTTTGAGCCGCGGGATGCTAAATCCAATGATAGAACCGAATGCTGTATCTATCACTTAGAGCTGAGGTGTGTAAGTAGAGACTGGTGTTGTCGAAAAGCCACTTGCAGCAGTGTTACCCGTGATATTTTTTGATTGATTGCATTGTGAATTACAAGGCGTGACTCGCTGAATTCTCAGTGCATAGAGATTACCAGCATTGAGGGTAGCTGTTGAAGGTCGTATCCTCTTCGACGCACTCGATCGACTTGCTATTAATGCCTAGGTCCAAGAAATATTAGTCAGGGTCTTCAAAAACGATCTCGTGTATATAATGATGTGTTTTTTAATTCCTCAGTCATCAACTGGCTAAATCTTGTGAGCATATTATCAATGGATACAAACTACAAAGTAGTCGGTGTTTTACTTAAGTGAGCGGTGCTAATAAATCTGCTGCTAGTTCCATTCGCTTAACATTCAGCAAGCCATTGAAATGCTTTTTCCTGTTGCATGTCCGACTTCTTTTTAGCCATCGGTCCATCATTCTGTGGAAGAAATTCCTCCAGGTCAATGCTCATAAAATAATGATAAAGATGATACCGCCATCGGCTTTGTCAAACTGGTTGTGGGTATGATCGAATAAGGTTGTTTTTCGATACGACCACTTTTGCAAAGCAAATACAAATAGGCTCAGTAATGCAATTCTTGAGCTCTTCTTGGTCTTCATGCTTAGATTGTTTATTATTATCTGCTTTGTTAAGGACAATAATAATCTTATGTTCGCGCGACACGTTGAATCAACGTGTCAGAATTTTGATCTTGTACTTTTCGAAGCAATTTTTTTCTCAATTTCGATAATATGGGATACCATCATCTTAGTCCCCCCACACCCCTGACTTTTCATATGATCTCCTATATACCATGCAAATAACTTAAACTGTAGCTCAGAATAACTTCCCGACCACCACCCCAGATGTGCTTGATATGCTCTGTAAAGCAGTTGAACTTCGTTTTCAAGTTAGGATCGTAGGGATGAACGAATCCTTAGAATTTGTTCAAGACTTCATTCAAGTTCCAATTGAACTTTAGGATTGACTGTCGCAAGCTCCTGACTTTGCATTGTCTGACATAAATAAACCTTACCGTATGTGATGTCATCATGATAATGGTGATTTATATTGTGTAACGTCCGCCTTGCAAAATGTGAGCAATGTTGTATTTGATAAACTTATAAAGTCTGTTTATTGTGATAGCTTCTCTAAATTGATAACATCGAGATACGTTGATACAATTGAAGATTAGCGGCAATTCACCCTATTCGTAGTAGATATGGAGCTCTGCAAAACGAGAATCAGTAGAACTTTTCTTATCTTTCATTCCTTCTTTGTCTTCTGTTTTCCACTTGTTGTTAGCAATCGGATTAGTTCAGCCAGCAATAGATTTTTTCTGAGACTCGGTTAGTTTTGGATCATACTTAGAAGTGTTTCAATAGTTACAAACTTTCAACGCGCAGCTTTATCAATCCGATCTGTCATGGTGTGTAGAATAAACGAATAAGTTATGAGATCAACATGTTGTTTCTTTTATAACAAACTCGCTAAGTTCCAAGTATTGTTATTGTCATTAACCCATGACCACTTTATCATACAACACAGGTCGTATAGACGATGACCGTAGCTGTTCTTCGACACGCCGTATTGAGCGACATTTAGGTCGTCAGTCATGATTAGTATATTTATCACCATTTGTTCATTCGTGCAATAGAAATCTTTCAGTGTCTTGTTGCCTCTTTTAGATTAAAAAGCAATAGCACCAAAGTACGCATTGCTGTCAATTATTCTCGATCGTTCAATATCCAAGTTCTTGCTGGCAATGTCGTCCCTGAACGCTCTAATGACCCTCATGGATCTAACGAATCTTCTACTAGATTGTATTGCATTGCTTTGCCCGTTTCGATGTAATTCTCGAAAGAGAACTCTTTTTCTGCTTCTGCAATTTCTTCCGCTTCTTCAATTTCATTCAAATTATTTAATTTCGATTTCATCCTTCGATCTTTTTATATACCCCATTATCCGTGATCACCGGTGCGAGGATGAACTCATCCATTTCTGGAACTTTGCTTACATTGATATTTGAGACGTTTTGATGCAATAGTCATTGCCGCTGCGTCAATGTGATGCGTCTGATCAAATGAAAATTGCTGTAGCACGTCTGGAAGCGCTAAAACGCATTTGATTACCGATGGGGTTGGTGTAGGAACAACCTCAGCCATAGCTAGGCGATTTGGTTGAGGCAACATTTCTTCTATTTTATTAGCTCGACGACAAAAAATTCCACCAGATCAATGATATTGAATACCAGTGGGGTTGCTATGTTTCGATAAGTTAAGATGTCGAGCATGTCCGACTTGTGTCCGACTCTAATCTCCGGCTTTCTTTTGATCAGAAGCAGCGATATCAACTCTAGATCAATTCATGTATCTAAATGTCCAGGTGTCTATCTTGTTTCTAGTTTATGAAAGAGTATTATAAGAAGTAAGATGAGTAAGGAGGTATTAAAATGGTTTTAAGCAGGCGCTGGACACCGATACATGACCCCTCTCATCAAAATTCATCGTATCAGACGTTTTTTATGACTGATCTAGTTGCTTCTGATAACTAGGATAAAGGTGGTTACGTTTTGAAACTCGACAATGTGTGTATTCTTGAAGAATCATGGCTGGCTGAACACCCACAACATTTATAATGCTTGAGTTGTGACACTTTAGTGCAGGCTTGGGTTCAAGCATAAAATTAGAAAGTGAATGTTAGATCCTGGTTCATCAATCCAAGTGCATCCAGTCTAAAAATTACATGCATATGCTTGTAGTTGATGTTGCAACATCAACGTCAACATCTCCATTGATTCTCCCTCATCCGTTGTCTTTGGAGAGTCATCTCGACTTGACTTCGTTTCACTATCACATAGGTTCTGGGTTGGCCGTGCATTTGATTGGTTGAAACGCTAAGCTACTTCCTCGATGTAGTGGCTATGTGATATGGTTAGCGTCTTCTTGTTTATTGCATAATTTATTTCCATTCCAGGGATCAACTTTGCTCGACCCGAATCTTTGATACAAAACCGCTAGGTGATTTTTGATTTCATTTCATTTACTTCTTCAATGGTTTTGGCCACTATTAGCATATCATCAACGTATAGGCAGATGTTAATCACAGACTCAGGTCGATTTCGAACATAGATGCATGAATCAATCGCTGAAGGTTTGAACCCAATTTTCAGTAGGACGTCGTTGATGGTCTTGTTCCACACGTGAGTTGCTTGCTTGAGGCCGTAAGGGGAACGGTTCAGTTTCAGTACTTTGCCTTTGTCGCATTTGATTCCCTCAGGCACTCTCATGTATACAAACTCATCGAGCATTCCATAAAGAAAAGCAGTATCTATATCAAATTGGAAAATCGATAGACCTTGGTAACAGCATACTGATAATACTATGCGGATTGAGTTCAAGCTTGCTACTGGTGCGTATGTTTCAAAAATCTTTATACCAAATCTTTGACTAAATCCCTGTGCAACGAGTCTAGCCTTGTATCAAATGATTTCACCATGTTCGTTCTATTTATCGCAAAAAACCCACTTTGATCCAATAGTTCTTATACCAGATTTGAAATTCACAACATCCCATGTGTTGTTGCGAACTAATGAGTCAATCTCATTATGAATAGCTTGCTCCCACTGATTTTGGCACTCTCCATTGGTTGCGTCGCTAAATGATGCTGGCACATCAGCCATGAATGCTAACATGCCATCATCATCATCAATCCTTGAACACTTTGGTGGTCGCACATCCATATGATCACAGTCATCGTGCTGACGGTCTTTCATCACTGGCTCGAACACAACTATGCGTCTGGAAAGGCATCAGACTTAATCTGGAGGCGCTGTTGAGTATGAGGCACATCACACAGCACGTGATGCTGACTATGATTAAGTTGGCGACGATGGATTGGATGATGGAAGACAATTGCATCCCTCCCACTGAGTAAGTAGTTGTCATGTGTGAGTTCAGTTTGTGGTGGACTCGCATGATGAATGCTTGATGTAGGAAAATGGATATAAACCGCTAAAGGCATTCTCTCGTCGTTATCAACTAAGTCGTCATCCATGATCACATCATCGCTTTGTGTTGGCTGTGAAACACAACGTACCATAATTTCATCATCATCAATTGGGATCTGAAGATACTCATATGACTTATCCATATTTAATATGATAGGCGCTGGATACTCCGCGTTCATCTAGAGCAACTGAACGTCTTGTTAATACTTTTCAGTATCGAGATTTAACACACATTTTCTTTTGCTATATTCCATGTGCCCCAGCAACATGCAGCGAAATGATGTCGCGTCTAGTTGTGTTCGCTGAGACTTTTCAATATGTGCGTACCCTCGAGAACCAAAGACACGAATATGATTGAGGTCTGGACGAGAGCTAAAACAAATCGCGTATGGTGTAATATCAGTGTTCACGGTGCTGGTCATCCGATTCAGCAGGTGCACAGCAGTATTGACTGCATCAGCCCACCATCGAGTTTCAGTAGCCTTGAAAAGCATCATGCTTTTTGCCATCTCCATCACGGTTTGGTTTGTTTGCTCTGCAAACCCATTTTGCTGAGGGCTATATGGTGCAGAGCGTTGGTGAATGATCCCACCATCAACACAAATCTTGCCAAAATTCTTGTTGACAAATTCAGTCCCAATGTCAGACCGAACGATTTTGAACACCTTGTTGCCCTTCCATCTTCGCTTTGTACTCACGAAAACGATTCGCCACTTCCGTCTTTCTCTTCATGAAGTATGCACATGTGTAGCGCGAATAGTCATCTGTGAAGACCAGCACATACTTTGCTCCACCGGTGGACGTTACTTTCATGGGTCCCATGAGATCTGTGTGCGCCAGTTGTAGAACTCGTGTGGTTTTTGTCATACCACGGTTTGTTTGTTTTGGGAATGGCGTGACATTATTCTTTCCAAGCATGCATCCACCACATAGGTCTTGATCACGCTGAAGTCCTCCAGGGATACCATCACTTGCATCAACTACACGTTTCATATTGTCATGATGCGTGTGTCTTGATCTCGCATGCCATAAATTTCAATCACCTGGTCTTCTTGATGGTCAATCACACTTACAGTCTGTGCTTGATTCTTCACGCAATGCACATTGTTTGCTTGTGGTACGGTCACTATCAATTCTTCTCCTCGAGAGATATTTTTCATACCAAAACTAACCGTAAGACCCTTCTGGTTAAGTTTTGCAACTGAGAGTAGCCGACGATCTAATCCAGGAATGTGGAGAGTGTCTACTATCTTCACTATGCGACTTTGAGGGCATTGCATGTGAATATCACCCATACCACTCGCATGAAGTGATTCACCATCAGCAATTGTAACACCAATGCTCTCTTCAACTCTCTGTAAGTATGGAAATCCTTTTGCTCGGAGCTCATGTGCGACGATGCACCTCTAATAAGCAACCAATCTGATTTTTCATCCATATTTGCCATAAACAGTACATCATTACTGCGTGCACTTGATGGACAGTCACCTTCTTATGACCACTCTTGTTGCTGCCATGGCAACGCCCGGTGAAACCTCGAGCTGATAGTGGTTGTCCACGGTTATCGTGTCTCATGTCTTGTCGAATATGCTAATTTTGGCGACCACGACCACCTTGTTTATTCTTTCGACCACCATACCAAATATTCGCACCTTGAATATGCTTTCTTCCGATTTTTCTGCATTTCGATCTTTCCGTGCTTTTTCAAGTGCTATTCCCTCACTTCATCAAGTGAGATTTTTTTAGAGTTCTTAATGCTCGAAGCAATCATCGCATAGCTGCTCGGCAGTCTACCGAGCGAAATCACAAGGTGCCTATCAGTGCTCATACCATCCCCGACACCCTCCATCGCAACAACCAGTTCGTTGGAATTATTGAGGTGAGAAGCCATGCTTGCTTCATCTTCATAATGAACTCATGTAAACGTCTTGTCAAAGTCAATCGATTGTGAATATTTGAACGATTGTAATATTCTTTTACAGCAGTACGGACAGAACAGATTCTTGATTGGTGATCTAACTGAATCCCTTGTGCAATAATAGT